AACTTTTCAAAGAGATAAATAAGGTCCATCCCTTGTCCAACTCTCGGCTGAACAGTCGTCCCATATCCTTGTATCTCCCCATGTAAGATCACACTTTCTAATTCGTTTTCTTTAATCTACTTTTCCCTGTTGAGCAGATTCAATGCGTTCGTGATTTTACTTAGTAACATATAAAGCCAATTATTATAAATACTAAAACTAATGCTATTATTAATTATCATCTTACTAATAAGTATAATAGTAGTATGTATAGTTAAGTATTAAATTATTATAAAGACTATTAAAAATAACCTTTAAATAGTCGGTTAGGGCAGAGCGTCCCGCTTGGATGGCCAGATGCACTTTGTGTGTCCAGTAGTACATGGAAATCGCTAATACGGCCTGTCCACACCAGGCACGAACCCATTGCTTGCGGGAGGTTGTTAGGTAGTCTTCAAGTGCCCTTGAGATGGCCAAATGCACAGATGCTACCATGTCGGCCTCCAGTTCTAGAAGCCATTTCTCCACGGCACCGCGGGCTTTCGAAGTTGAGATTACGCTCTTCAGCTCGACCATTTCGCCTTCACTGCTGGTCATGTGTGTAATATCGAGGATGTCGGTAAAGACAAGAGAGGCAATCCCCTCGAAGCACTTTTTGAGATGTGGCTGTACTCGAGTTGGATCTTTTGTTTCAGACAGAATCTCCAACAGCTCGTCATTGGAAAGGAAGAAGAATCTGGGGAAGAAGAGACGCTTCTTCTCCAGATAGGCATTTAAGCCTTTCAGTATAACCTCGAGCAGGTCATTACATTTACGCAGTTTGTCCAGCATCTTCTCGATCAAAATGACCGAAAGAACACGCTTGTCCACAACAGCCTGTTTCATCAGCTCCTTCCATGTCTTGTCGACGGTGGTAAACTTACGGCTTTCATCGGGCATCTGAGCCATGATGTCGGGTGAGCTGAAAATCGGCTCTAAATAGAGCCAGGTCGCTTGAACCTTGAGCCATTCATCCAGAATGTCTTGTGTCAAAATCAGTTTATGCTCCCAATCCCTTAATAACAAATAAAGGACATCAAATTGCATAAGTAAGGCGGATAAGGCTAGACAAGGATAAAGTACAACCCGACGATGCGTAGACTAGACATTAGGCAAAATGCATGCTTAGGCGACAATTCATACCCAAAGGGATAATGACACTTTATGTTCCCACAAAACTAGCTGCCAGGTCAGAGTATGGCAGAACTAGAGCCCACATTTCGTGTCACCTAAAACGACATGCCGGCCACTTAGTCTTTGATCTGAAAGATGCATTTTCATCGCCTCGTTAAATCCGTTTATTTGCTTGGGAAGATGACGAAGAACAAAACAGGTCAAAATACGAAAGAAACACTTTGCAGATTCCAAATAACGCTATTATGAAAGCAGTTTGCTAAAAATAATTGTACTTATTAGGTTACTATATACCCTCAAATTAATCTTCGTCTGCAACAGAGGCAATGAAGATATGAAGACCAAGATGGTGTGGCCTCTGGTATGGTCGCAGTCTCATTTTCGATTTGCAGAAGTGGATTGACCTCGTTGCCGCAGCTTGGTCTTGTTGTCAGGGCGACTTAGTAGAACGCACCTAGTCCGAAGTCGTCTGCCATTACAGTTGTCATGATTCCCAGCATCAGACAGTGATAAGAAGGTGAAGAGTAGATAGATAGACAATGACTGAAAGAGGAGTGATAGTGTAACCGTTTTCGGCAGAACAGTTGTCGAGGGATTAACTTGACTTGTCCCTTTGACGAATTTGTAGTTTGGTGTTGAGAATAGCAGCATAAACTGATAATGCTGACTACAAATCCGGCGAAACGTTTGAGGATGTATCAAGCCCA